GTGTATGAGGCCCCAAAAAGCATTTGGTTCATCTCATTGGGAGACTTGCAAAGTTGCCACTAAATAACACTATTTAATATATGACGGCAGTAAAAGTTAGACTTTGAAGAAGCAGGCTAGGGAAAGTATTGATGGCTTTTTTTTTTTACTTTGGTGTTGGAGAAGACTCCTGAGAATATCACAACACCAAGCAAAGAGAGAGAGAAAATAAACATATCAAAACAAATAAACCCAGAGTTCTCAGTTGAGGCACAAATGACAGGCTGAAGTTATTTTATTTCAGACACGTTATTTGAACACCAAGCTCTCTATAGAAAGTCTAAAGTTCTAATGCTGGGAAAGGCGGAAGGATGGAAGGAAGGAAGGAAGGAAGGAAGGAAGGAAGGAAGGAAAGGAAGGAGGAGAAGACAACTGACAACAAGGTGGGTGGACTCTGGTATAGTGGTGTTAAATACACCGTTGGAAGGTATGAAATACCAGGCTAGGGACCAATTGTCATGGATCGAACTAGCTATGTGGTTTCTCACTCCATAGTGGTTAAATCAATCAATCAATCTCTGTGATACTGTAACAGTTGACAAAAACGAGATGGCACATAATCAATGTGATGGAAGGGAAAATCATTGAATACACAGGAAACATATTAACTGTGTTGAATTAAATACTCTAAGTGCATCAAATTTAGTTTTTATTTTGCCCATCCATTTGTGGAGAGGAGAGGTCTGACCTCTTCACTTATTAGAGGACAGCCTTTAGGCCACCATTCTCAATAGTGCTGCTATAATTGTTCAGTATTGAGGGATGTTAGAAGCAGGGGTGGGATTCAGCATGTTCGGACTGATTCGGGCGAACCAGTAGCTCCGACAATCAGCTGGGAGCAAACCGGTTCACTCTAACAATCAGGTGGGCCCACCCGTCCCTGCACTTTAATTACCTATATACTCTCAGCTGATTCGCATGGCAGAGCACATTGCCACACATCAGATGTGTTATTCCCAGAAAGTAATGTGGACGATAAGTTTTTTAAAAACTGTGCATGCACGCAGAGCGCGCGATCACTGAACTGGTTGTTAAATTGGCAGGATCCCACCACTAGTTTTCTTTTGTGATGTGTTCTTTTTTATCTCTTTATTTTTGTAAGCCGCCCGGAGTCCTTCGGGATTGGGTGGCATATAAATGTGGTTAATTAAATTAAATTAAATTAGTTTAAAGGTCCAATTCTGCAATATCTTTAGATCTAGCGCTTTGCTGTTGCTGAAGTAATTTCCTTGATAGAAAAATGGATAAATGTGACAGATATCTCAGGTGACTTAGCTCTGAAATTTTGGGGGGGGGGAAAGTTCCACTTCTCTCTTACGACTTTATTATCTACTTTTGTAGTGACTATTTTAGGTTTTTAGTCAAGAAATGAAATAATAATTCTGTTTGTTTTTTGTTTTTTGGTATGGTAAGTGTTCCTAATAACTTGTCTTGTTGTTTATCAGTGAAACTCCATAGGGTGAAACTAAACTAAAGTTTAATTGTTATAGTGGTCTTTAAAATGACAAGACATATAATTAAAAGAGAACCAAAGTATTGATGCAGAGTTGCATTTTTCTTTATTGGCTCTATATTTATTAACAAAACCTATAAAACAAAAGATAACATGCTACCATTTTACTGCCCTCAAAATTAACAAAAGTTTATTTTTAAAAGGAACTGAAGATAGACCACTAAAAATGGGGTCTAATATAATATTAGTGGGATAATTACCGCTAATGATGGAGCTAAATGGATTAGGAAAATTAAGATTATGCTTAATTATGCTTATTCCTGGTAAAATGATTGCAATCAATATTTTTACTTATCTGGAAGCAAGTTCCATTGAATTTAGTTCTGAGTACTGTAGATATGGGAAGAGCTTTTAGCAACAAATTAAAATCAAGTATCTTTACTACGGTCTTTGATCAGCCTTTACAGTAAAAAAGGAAAGATAGTTTGATACAACAGTTTGTTACTGGGAAAGGAGGAAAAATCAATAGGATAATAAAACAATGTATCTAATTAAAAGTTTTGTGCTGTTATATAACTGGGTGAAGATATTTGGCCACCCAATATATGAATGTGAGATTAGCCCCCCTTAAAAATAATAAAAATAAAATGTATCAGTGTGGCCCGCATATTTGGAAATAATTGGGGTGATTGAAACACATCTTGGAGCTTCATAAAAGGTCACCATATGAGGACATGATTGTGAGAGAGGTCAAGAGCAATGTGTCTGGAAATAAGGAGTCCCATAAAATCCTCCTGACAGCAGAACTGATAAGCATATTTATTGATTTCAAATTCATTAAGGAAACAGAGATCATGTTCACTATCACATTTGTTTTCCCCAACCTAGCTAGATACTATAAAGTTTTTATATTTTAAATTTCCAATTAAAAATATGTCACGAGGATGCTTGGGCACCTGGACTTTCCTGTTTTTTTCCTTGAAAATATTTCGCTTCTCATCCAAGAAGCTTCAGTTTCAGCGTCTTGGAGGAGAAGCGAAACATTTTCAAGGGAAAAAAACCAAGGAAGTCCAGTTGCCTTTTGAAAAGCACTTTTGGGACAACCCCGACCTGGATAATTGACCATCTCCATAGCCACTTAAAAACAAGCTTACCCTCATAAAAATCATACGTGCACATTGTATGGCCCATTAGTGCTGGGAAGTCCTTAATCCCTCTGCTGCATTCAAGTAACTCAGAAGCCAAGTCTTGGTCAAGCTCTGTGCTTCGTGTCACCACACAGTCTAGGATCACTTGCTCAAACTGGGGCTTGAAAAAGGAATCCACTGCCACATCTGTTATTACCACAGAGCCAGGCTCAACCCCTAGAAATTGAAAATACATGGTGATGAAGAAATATGAAATGGTAACTATGGCCCAGTAGATATTAGAACCTCTTACAGTAGATGGCATCCCTTAGCTTAGAGGTCCCCACCCCTGGGCCATGGACCAGCACATCTGGAGGTGACTAGTGGATGAGTGAGTGAAACTTCATCTATATTTGCATCCACTCCCAGCATTAGTATTACTGCCTCAGCTCCANATTATCCCCCTCTTCTTCCTTCATTTCTTCCTTCACTTCCTGCTTTTCATCTGATCAAGGATTTGTGAATCAATACCTTTCAACTGGAACACTTTTTTTCTTTTCTAAATATTGCATCAAAACTAAATACTAGTGCCTCACTTTCCTCTTGCAGCTTATGACAGCTTCCAGGGAATTACAAAACAATATTGAAATCATTACTTTCACTTACCTGTTTTATTATGCCAAAAAGCAATTTTAAACTTATGGAATTATTTTCTCAGCAAAATACCAGATTGGTAGTTAGTAATACATATAGTGCAACCATATTTTAAAAAAACAAAAACAAAATGAACTTTGCAGCTACCTTCCTGAACAGTGGATTGATATGGTTAAGCAAACAAGAATTAAGGTAAGTAAAGATTGTAGTAAAGATTGGGAAATGAGCGAAATTGGTGTAAATTGCTAGGGGTTTAGCGTGAGAAGGAAGGAAAAAACTTGTGTCTAGCAATCGGGGTGTTTCAGGTTTATAATTAACAGGATATAAGAAAGAAGAAGGAGAATATAAACGTAAATTGGAGAAAATAAAATAATTGCCTGTAAGGAAACAAAAGACAGGTGCGAGGAGGTGACCCTCCCCCCAACTATGAGAACAAAAATTTCACTTCAGAGTTTTTGAAAGTGGAGTTGTGGAAGGCAAATAACAGACTGGGGCCAAGGCAAACACAGATGAAGGCCAAGGAGAAGACCCAGGGACAGCCTTGACCCAGACGGATTAACGCTTGAAGAAATGCTTGGAAAATGAAAAAGGCAGGAGGATATAAGAAAGCACCTCAAGGAGATAAAAAAAAGACACCAGAAACTTAAAATGAGATGGAAAGGTCACTCCAGAGTGAGAAAAAGAAGAGACAAGCTTTAAAAGGAAAGAAAAATGGGCAGCTTAAGAAGAGCAAAGGGAGATACATAAGAGGCAGAAGGGCATAGGGGTATAAATATTGCTCCTGATTACAGTAAGAAGTCAAAGGAGATCGCACAGGGCTGTCTACCACAACTTGGATTGGTGGGCTGGTGCAACCCATGAAAGAAATCATGTGGTGCATGAGAGAGGATCAAGGCAAAGAGACCCCAGTAAGAGCAAGTAAATTGGGACCAGCTAAACCAGAGAGATGACAAGGAGCTTACTGGGTGCAGAGGAGCCAGTAAGGAAGACTATGGGAGTCCAAGTCATCAGAGGTGAGATTTTTGGAAGAGCATCTGTGGCTGAACAACCTTGCCAAGGGAAAATGTGTCCTGAATTGTGTGCAACTATGTAGTTGGAAATGCACTGCCTCTTTACGTAAACTGCCAAGGTGCCTAAAAGTGATGCTGAAGAAGCCTCTGGACATCAAGAGTTCACTCCTCTGAGTTACTATTCTAAGGCTATTCTTCTATCTGTGTAAATCCGGCCGTGTATCTAAAATGGTGATTTTCCTGCAAGTAGTAATGCACAGATGTTCTCAACTATGGTCTGAATCAAGGGTGGGTCTCTGTCGGCGTTACTGTCGATTTAGTGAGTGGGTGATTTGCTCCACGCACATGTGCAGTTGCTTGTAAATAGGTCTGTGCATGCGCAGAACATTAACAATGTCAAAAAAACATGCCACAGCGACCAGAGAACCAGTTCGGGGGTGTGGCGAGCCTGGTGTGCCTATTGGTTCAGTGACCCAGCCGCAATTTCCACTACCGGTTCACTCAAACCGGTGCAAACTGGTAGCAACCCTCCTCTGGCCTGAATATGGGAATATAAAGTCATGTTGTTGTTGTTAGTCGCAAAGTCATGTCTGACTCATTGCGACAACATTCCTCCAGGCCTTCCTGTCCTCTACCATCCTCTGGAGTCCATTTAAGCGCATGCCAACTGCTTCAGTGACTCCATCCATCCACCTCATTCTCTGTTGTCCACTTCTTCTTTTGTCCTCCATTGTTCCCAGCATTAGGCTCTTCTCCAGTGAGTCCTTCCTTCTCATTAGATGTATTTGAGTTTCATCATCAGGATCTGGCTTTCTAAAGATCAGTCAGAGTTGATCTCCTCTAGGACTGACCGGTTTGATGGCCTTGCAGCCCAAGGGACTTGCAGGAGTCTTCTCCAGCACCATAGTTCAAATGCCTCCATTCTTTGGTGTTCAGCCTTTTCTATGATCCAACCCTTCACAGCCATACATTGCAACTGTTACCTGCTCATAACTAGAAATACCTCAGGTTTTTTTTAATCTGTAGGAAGTTCTGGGGGTGGCCATACACTAGATTGAAAGGTCTTAGATAGTTGTTAGAAAAGACACCATCTGAGTCCCAATGACTGGGAAAACCACAGAGAACAGTTTCTTAAACTCAAAAGACTAGTTCCGTCGCTATTGAAACTAACACAAAATTATCCAAGGGAGGAGAACCTTCCCAGAAGTCCTCTGACTTACCTTTTAGGCCACAAAGCCTGCACATCGCAGCAAAGACGGTGGATTCCATTTCAATGTTTCTCACGCCGGCATTGTATGCTCTTTTTAAGTACTCTACCTTTTTTTCATTAGAGAAGCAGCACAATGCTCCGTCTAACCGTCCTTGGCCTTAAAAGGAAAAG